ATTGGTATTATGATTGTTTGTGACCATTTGACATCCAAGATGGAACCCCAAAAAAAGAAAAATTGGGAAGATTTTCTACTGGAAGTAGCAGATTAAACATGCTGGAATCTAGGAGGAGTTATCTCCGTTCACATTCCCTTTTATCCCAGATTGAGTTTAGGTAAGGACACCATTGCAGGACACCCCCCATGTGCCCTAGAGATGAGCAAGATTGGCACTGGTGAATCCCATGTACGACGGTTAGAACATCGCTGCAAGCTGGGGCTATGCTGTTCCATTTTTATCGACAGTTGCTAGTTACTAGTTGGAATCAACATCTTGCGTCAGAATAGTCAGATTTGCGTCCGAAGAAAACAACAATATTTATTTTTTTGGCATCAGAGTGAAAGACACCTATATATGTACTTCCCAGCTCGAGTGGAGGGAGCATGCAATCATCAATTGAATTCTGGAAAGAGCCTTTGGGGGCTCAAAGGTTAGTTGTTCCCTACAATTCAAGGCTTGCCCGCCCCGAATTTCGAGGCCAGAAGTGGGCACAGTTGCCCAGATACAATCCTAGACAATACCATGCTATGGGGAACATCTATGATTATGTATGAATTTGTGGACATATGGTATATGGGTTCTGCCAATAAAAGCATATTAATGAACATCTACCCTTTGGAAATTTCATGTGGAATGTTGTGGAATATGGTCCATGGCGGCGATGGATTGGCCCCCAACAGGTGACCAATGGCCGCGGGTGGCCGCGGGATACGCGGGGATTACGGGGACCTGTCAGAAGGTTTGTGAGATAAGTTGAGATAAGTCATAAGAAGATTTGTATTGTCATATGTCAGAAGATATGTGAGAAGGCGGGATATCAATAGTTCAGAAGATTTGTCATTGCCATTGCGCAGAAATTGTCATATGTCAGAAGATATGTGAGAAGGCAGGATATCAATAGTTCAGAAGATTTGTCATTGCCATTGCGCAGAAATTGTCATTCCAGAAGATATTGAAAGGAGGATATCAATGTTCAGATATTTGTCATTGCATTGCGCAGAAATTGTCCATTGTCAACGATATGTGAGAATGCAGGATATCAATAGTTCAGAAGATTTGTCATTGCCATTGCGCAGAAATTGTCATATGTCAGAAGATATGTGAGAAGGCGGGATATCAATAGTTCAGAAGATTTGTCATTGCCATTGCGCAGAAATTGTCATATGTCAGAAGATATGTGAGAAGGCAGGATATCAATAGTTCAGAAGATTTGTCATTGCCATTGCGCAGAAATTGTCATATGTCAGAAGATATGTGAGAAGGCAGGATATCAATAGTTCAGAAGATTTGTCATTGCCATTGCGCAGAAATTGTCATATGTCAGAAGATATGTGAGAAGGCGGGATATCAATAGTTCAGAAGATTTGTCATGGCCATTGCGCAGAAATTGTCATATGCCAGAAGATATGTGAGAAGGCAGGATATCAATAGTTCAGAAGATTTGTCATTGCCATTGCGCAGAAATTGTCATATGTCAGAAGATATGTGAGAAGGCGGGATATCAATAGTTCAGAAGATTTGGTCTTGCCATTGAGCAGACTTGTCATAGTCAGAATATGGGGAGAAGGGCGGGATATCAATAGTTTTCAGAAGATTTTGTCATGGCCAATTGCGCAGAAATTGTCATATGCCAGAATATGTGAGAAGGCGGATATCAATATTCCGAAGATTTGTCATTGCCATTTGCGCATAAAAATTGTCATATGTCAAAAATGTGAGAAGCTGATATAATGTTTCAATTTGTCTTGTCCATTGCGCAAAATTGTCATATGCCAGAAGATATGGTGAGAAGGCAGATATCAATAGTTCAGAAGATTTGTCATTGCCATTGCGCAGAAATTGTCATATGTCAGAAGATATGTGAGAAGGCAGGATATCAATAGTTCAGAAGATTTGTCATTGCCATTGCGCAGAAATTGTCATATGTCAGAAGATATGTGAGAAGGCGGGATATCAATAGTTCAGAAGATTTGTCATTGCCATTGCGCAGAAATTGTCATATGCCAGAAGATATGTGAGAAGGCAGGATATCAATAGTTCAGAAGATTTGTCATTGCCATTGCGCAGAAATTGTCATATGTCAGAAGATATGTGAGAAGGCGGGATATCAATAGTTCAGAAGATTTGTCATTGCCATTGCGCAGAAATTGTCATATGTCAGAAGATATGTGAGAAGGCAGGATATCAATAGTTCAGAAGATTTGTCATTGCCATTGCGCAGAAATTGTCATATGTCAGAAGATATGTGAGAAGGCGGGATATCAATAGTTCAGAAGATTTGTCATTGCCATTGCGCAGAAATTGTCATATGTCAGAAGATATGTGAGAAGGCAGGATATCAATAGTTCAGAAGATTTGTCATTGCCATTGCGCAGAAATTGTCATATGCCAGAAGGTATGTGAGAAGGCGGGATATCAATAGTTCAGAAGATTTGTCATTGCCATTGCGCAGAAATTGTCATATGCCAGAAGGTATGTGAGAGAAACTGTCAGAAAATATGCCAGAAGCTGTGTCAGGATTATGCCAGGATAAGTATCAGAAGCTATGTCATACATGTACGGATATATGTAATCAGAATATTTTCAAAGAACTGTCAGAGATATGCCAGATAATCTTTCTGAAATATGTAAGAACATATGTCAGAAGATACTGCATATCGTATATGAGAGAAACTGTCAGAAAAGGTGTTAGAAGACATGTCGATGTAAATGTCGGCTAGATATCAGAGAAATGTCAGAGAGACTTTCAGAATATGGCAGAATTATTATTACTATATATATATATACATAATATATATATGTCAAAAACATGTTGGAAATATGCGACAACATGCGACAACATATGTTGCAAAATATGGTAGCATTTTGGCCAGAATATCTTTGTCGGCAAAAGTTAATTAGTATGTTTCGTTTTCCGCTGCCAGGATCTGGTACTAGGGTGGCAGGCTCTGCACCGGAGTTTTTTTTGGCAAAGATTTAGCAATAATGATATATGAAACATCTGCAAAAAGACATGTTTGTTGGATTTTGTTTGTGTTTTTTCACCTTTGTTTTGTTGTCGGTTTTGTGTACTGTATACAGTAGTCCATTTGCTTCAGATGCTTCTTTGTTTTACAACATGCTTTGCGCTGCGGGGATTGGGTGGCGTCTCTGCAAAATGAGGAACCAGCAGAAAACGTGACGTTGAGCACCTCCATATAAAACAAGAAACCCATTGAAATAGCCTTGGCCCACTGCAGTCCAGTTTAGATCCTCCCGTCAACTTTGTTCTGGGGATTTCTTGCTTTATTTTTCGATGCACCTAAAAGTTAATTACTGTATTTTTTTTTAGTTTTTATTTTATTGGTTCCTGGTCATTTTCGCAGAGGCTTCAGTTTGGCTAGTGTTCCGCTTTGTGAATAGGTTTGGCTCAGAGCAGGTAGATTGAGGATGATTGAGAACGGATGGAATATGATAGAGCATCGCCATCGGTAAGATGTATGTGTTGTTTTCTCTTGGTTTTTCATGATTAGGTTTGTTTTGGGTTTACCCCAAAACTATCCAAAACTCTCTGTAACATGGAGCTTGTACATTTTGATGGTCACAAGTGGTTGAAATTGTTGGATTGCCACTGGCCCAGTGGCCTTATGTGGGCCAAGGGTAGCCTGTAGAATAAACAAACGTCTTGTCCTTGTCGATGTAAAGGTGTAAACGCTAGTCTGTGCAAAAGCTGGTTGGCGTTCGAAAACTAGTTTGTGTACAAGGTATACTTGGTGTAAGAAAATAGTTTATGTAAACAATATTAAACAACTAGTTTGTGAGTTTGGGTAAAAATCGGCTTGCATAGAAGCTAGCTTGTGCAAAAACCAGTTTGTGCAAAAGCTGGTTGGTGTAGCGTCTTGATCGCGTGAAAGGCAACTGCTGTAAAAATGGTTGGCGTAAAAGCCGGGTGTTGTAGCTCGCCTTTGCCTTGAGCACACAGTGAAAACATTGAGAAACCGCGGAAAAATGCAGCATTATAGAGGCTGGCTACAGCAACGAAAGACACAACGGAGATGGGAGAGAGCTGAAGAAGGAAGAGGAGGAAGCGGAGGACGAGGAGGAAGAGGAAGAGGAGAGAGGAGGAAGAGGAAGAAAAGGGGGAAGAGGGGGAAGAGGGGGAAGAGGGGGAAGAGGGGAAGAGGGGGAAGAGGAGGAAGGAGAAAGAGAGGGAACAGGAGGAAGAGGATGAATGACGAACAGGAAGAGGATGATGCTGAAGATAAAGGAGAAAGGGGGGGTGGGGAGGGAGATGGACAGGACTCAGACTCAGACGAAGCAAAAAGCGTCGCAAGAGAACAAAGGAACAAGCACAAGGCAAGAACAGAAACAATAACAACACCTTCCAATCAGACACACCGGCAGGCCGACGAATTTTACAGTGGCATGTCTGGAAAAGTGTACGGCACGCGCTACAAATATGTTGAAATTATTCATATGGCCGGGTCATATTCTACATGTGGTAAAACGGTATTTTTTCCATTTGCAACTGTAATTTGTTGGGCGCCAACCTCCAGGGCTAATTCAAAGCTGTTTTTTTTCTTAGGGAGCTCGGATTTCCATTGTCACTGTGGACTGTTGCTGTGGACAAGTTGTGGACAGTACAAACGCCATTTTTAGTGTCAAAATCAAACATATCAAACCTCAATGCAAGGGCCGCCGCATCCCTGTGAGTCACGAAGTTCGCAGCGACGCTGCTTGGAATGAGCCTTAATAGCAACGCTTTGTTTGGAAAGAATGGCTATGGCAATTGAGAGCCCACATCACTCCTTTATATTGTCTTTTCTAGCCTGCCAGAGCGCCTGCTTTGCAGCGCAAACCCACGTCCCTAAGCACACTCGCAGCATGCGCAAGACAAAATGATTTGGAGGGAGTTGGGATGGCCACTTGATATATATACCCTGTTGCGCAGACTTGGCGTTGATTCACCGAACCAGGAGCGGCTTGCTCTTTTGAGCCGGCTCTTGAAGCTTAGGTTGGTGCAGGCCAGTGGTTGATGGTTGGCTCTCTTTTGCCGCCAAATGGGGTTAGCTGAAGTTGAGAATAATTGGGACCACCGACTTTCGACTTACTGGTCATTAGCTATGGCTATTACGTGTTATGATCCTCACTTTGTATGGTTCTTGCATGTTATTGCTCGTCAACTACCATCAAACATGCTTATTGCTCCTGGCTGATGGATTGTGCAGGTTGCGATCCTTATTTCACATGGTTATTCTTCGTTAGCTACGGGCTTAATTGTGTATGGCTACCCATTATACACTCATCTACTCGTGGTGGCTGCACCTTTTTACAGTATCTGTATATGCATTTTGTATGGTTATTACTCGTTAGCTACTTGCTGTTTGGTTACCGCATGGTTAATAGTAATGGCATGTCATGACTTATGGTTGTTGTATGTTATTATCATGGTTTCGTATGGTTTCCCATTTCAATTTCCCACCGTTAATTATTGGTTTATTTGCGTATTGCTACCCATTAAACGTGGTTATTACTCATCAACTAGTGGTGGTTGCACGTTGTTATCCCTTTTTGTATGGTTATTACTCGTTGGCAACACGGTGATTTGGTTCGCACTGCCCGTTAAACATGGTTAGTTATTAGTTATGACATGTCATGACCTACGGTTGTTCCATGTTATTATCATCATTTCGTATGGCCATGCTTCGTTAATGCCTGTTTTTCCCACATCATTGTGTGGGGTTCTTGTTTTCTGCTCTGCGCCCGTCTGCCTCTGCCTGCCGCCGCCCGCCGCCCGCCTCTCACACCACTCTTTGTCACACACAACTCTTACACACACACACTTTTTTCACAATACAATGCTGTCACACAACTCTTACACTCGCAGCATTGTCGCACACAACGCTTACACACACACAACACAAATTTGTCGCACATAACATTGCCACACACACACACAACTCTTTCACACACAGCATTGTCACACACAAAACTCTTTCACACACACGCAGCTCTTTCACAAACAACATTTTCATATACGCAAATTTGTCACACACAAGTCTTTCACACAACTCTTTCAGACGCAACTCTTTCAGACGCAACTCTTGCACACACAACTCCCTCACACACACAACATTGTCGCACAACTTTGTCACAGGCAACATTGTCACACACAACTCTTTCACACACAACTCTTTCACACACAAACATTGTCATACACAACCCTTTCACACACACATAACATTGTGACATCACTCTTTCAGTCACAACTTTTCACATACAACATTGTCGCGCACAACATCTTTACGCAACAACACTGTCACATTCACAAGTCTTTCACACGCAAACCTTTCACACACACACACACACCACTTTGTCACACACGGCATTGTCACACACCCACACACAGTTCTTTCGCACAATCACTCTTCCATCATATCCTTTATTTTGCCTGCCTTTGCGATCCCATTTTCACACCTGTTTTGCGTTTCTTGGAAGAAGTGGACATGTGGGGTTTTCCGATCCTTTAATTTTTGTGTATTGTTTTTCAATGCTACCTAGTAAACATGGTCATTACCTAGTGGTGGTTGCACGTTATTATCCTTGTTCTCCATGGTCATCTAGGGTCATGAGGCACGTCTGGCCGAATCCTTCGGTGCTGTGGAGGAAGCAAGGTGGCTTGGAAAGGACGGCGTAACGGAAACCCGGTCGTTGCAACAAAAAATCGGGATTTCACCAACAAAACTGGTGATTTCCTGGGGTTTATAGCTGATTTATGATCGCTAAGTTGGCGAAAACTCCAATAATTTTGGTTTTTGGTAGAGAGAGAGAGATATATATATATAATTAAATAACTAGCTACTGGGGGTTGGAAACCAAGTTCGAACTGGGGGGCACTACCTTGCATACCTCCATCGATTCGATTGATGAAAAACAAAATGTCCATAGACAAGTTTATTGTTTTGGTTTATTAATATTGTGAGATGCACAGACATAGTTGTTAGTTCGATAGGAATACATTGTACAGGCTAAAGGTCCAGGTTTTATAGATGTTTGGCAAATGAAATAATCATGATATATGATATATGGATGTGTCCAGATATCCAATATACCCTTGGATTGCCATTGTGCCGGAAAATGATGAACCAAGATGTTTGGGAGACTCAGAGAATCAAACCAAAACAGACAAATATTTCAACAAAATCTGGGTTGGTTGAAAATTCCCAATGTGCGTAATTTGAACATATTCTAAACGTATTTCATTTCTTTAAAAACACAACACGAGGAAACATAGGTGATATTGACAGCAAATGTGGAAAACACACAAAGCAAAAATGGATGCAGCGTGGATTTGATTAAATATTAAAACCACTAATCACCTATTTTCTGTCATCCCTCAAGGCGTTTCTGACATGAACGTCCCGAGTGTGTTGAACAGGCGGTATGGCCCCACCATGTGACCGTGCGCGCTGATCTGACCAAAACTGGTTAACTTTCACCAAATCAGACATATTTTGTTCCATTGTCACCAAGAATTGGTCCAAATATTGTTGTTTTTATGAACCAACACTCCATTTTGAGAAACTAAATCCTGTGTTTTTTTTTTGTAGTCCCATTCTCATGATTCATACACATCCCCGTTTCTATGACGCAAATTCCCATGTATGGGTTATATATATATATTAAGCATGGCCGCCTACATATAACATGCATTTTTTCAACCCTTCGGGTGTCGACGGGAAAAAACATTAGAATATTTGGGGTAGAAATATTTGGAGTAGACTCAGTAGAATTTTGGAGTGCACAACATGAGCCATAGGAACGAGGATGTTTCCATATGAAAAACATGCGTAAAACCCAGCAGATTGGACATTTTTTCGGTTCTATCAATTGGAGAATTTGGAGAAGGCAAGGAAAATGGAGAGAAGAGATAAGAATATGTTCGGACACCCTCAAAAATAACAATACTTCAATACTTCAATGGTTCTGGGTTTAGGGGCCCGAAAGGACCAGGGTCCAGATTTGGCGCTGGGCCCTGTCAAAAAACCTTTTTTATAAGGCACTTTTTTTTTGGGGGGGAGGCCTCGAAATTTTGAATTTTAGGGGTTCAGGGTTTTGAAATCTGAATTCATATTTAGTATTGGGGATTCTGGGTTCTGGGCAACTTTTGTATCAGGATGGAGGAAAGAAATGGGTGTCTCAAATTGACCAGTTTTAAACTACATTTTTTATTTTTAAAGAAGACAATGTGAAGTTCACAAGAAGGTCCCCCTACAAATTACCAAGTAAGGCAATCATTGTATTAACAAATGCAACATGTTCATCCATATTCTATGTATGTGTTCCTGCAGCTGCTTTCTGATGGCAGCCCAAATAAACATCCAAGAAAAAAGGAAAAGCAAAGGTAGGAAGAGAAGAGAATGCGAACGGACACGTGCAAAAAAAGAATACGTACGTCAATAACTTTTGGACCAGAATTGTGGAAAGACATAGGTTTCCCAAATTGACTAGTTTTTGACTACACTTTACATTTAAAAAAAGGCAATTTGAAGTTCACAAAAGGGTCCCTCCCCCCCACGAGTTGCCAAATTTCAGGCAGTCATTGTACAGACAAATGTACCATGTTCATCAATATTCTATATATGGGCTTTTGCAGCTGACAACTGATGGCAACCAAAACAAACATCTCAGAAAAGCAAACAAGCAAGGGTAGGAAGAGAAGAGAATACAAGCGGGCACGTGCAAAGCACAGAACATGTCAATAACTGTTGGATCTGAATTGGTGGAAAGAAATAGGTTTTCCAAATTGACCAGTTTTTGACCGCACTTTGCATTATACGAATGCAGTTTGAAGCTCACAAAAGGCTCCCCACACGAGTTGCCACATGTAAGGCAATCATTGACACATGTACGGTGTTCATCCATATTCTATGTATGGGTTTCTGCAGCTGACAACTGATGGCAACCAAAACAAGCATCTCAGAAAAAAGACAAAACAAGGGTAGGAAGAGAAGAGAATACAAGCGGACACATGCAAAGCAAAGAACATGTCAATAACTGTTGGATCAGAATTGGTGGAAAGAAATAAGTTTCCCAAATTGACCAGTTTTTGATTACACTTTACATTAAAAAAAAAGCAATTTGAAGTTCACAAAAGGGTTCCCCCCACGAGTTGCCAAATTTCAGGCAATGAAAAAGAAGGCAGTTGGCACCCCTCCACAGCTATTGTTGGTGGTTCCCGGGCACTGAATTAAGGTAAAAATCAAAAACCTGGGAAAAAGGATCTTCCAGAATCGAAAATGAATATTCTACAGGTTTTTCAAGATTGTGTTTTCATATTCTAAGTATAGTTTTTTTTCCGATTTCGGAAGATTATAAAGTCTAAGTAACGTTTTTTTTTCTCCGATTCCGGAAGATGTTTTTTGAGGCCGAAATTATCGATTCTGTATCCTATGTACTTCGCCTCGCTTATATATATATATATAAAGTAATATAGTAATAATAATAAATATAATAATACTAATAATAATACTAATAATAATACTACTAATAATAATACTAATAGTAATAATATTAATAATAATAATATTAATAACAATATTAATAATAATATTAATAATAATTTTAATTTTAATAATAATAAATATATATATATGTATATATATATATCACATCCCTATTTTCAAATGGTTTCATGACTTCAATACCAATGTTTGTGGTTTCAATTTCACTGTTCCTGCTCAACTCGCCAGTTTGAACGAACTATTTAAATGTTAATTTTGATGACTCCAATCCTAACATGATGACTTCCCCATCTTGGATGGGCTCCTCCACCGCACTTTTCCCAATCCCCTTCTTGTCAGGGCCGATGCCGCCGAAGAGTCACTGAGCCCGATTTTGAGGCCATAAACGGCTAAAAGATGTTGAGCATCTCAATGATATTCAAAACGAAAGACCAAGAAACCAAAAAACAGCA